CGAGGTCATCGTTGCGCCAAAGACGAGGCAAAAGAGCTCGCACAGCTCGGGCGACCACCGTAGCGTAGCCAGCACTTCCAAGTCCAAACGAAGCGCGACCAGCACGGTGCGCAGGCGAAGCGCCAAGGAAGAGCGAAGACCTACCATGTTTCTGCGTGGTCTTGACCGAAGCTCATGTGAAGAATGGTTTGATGAAGGGCCCCTGGTTCAGGATTTAAGTGTTTGGGTTGATCATGACCTTGTCTCCGGCGAAGCCTTCAAAGGGGTCAACTATGTCGCGGTCGATGTTATTAGACCAGCTGGTCTGCAACAGCCTCAACCAGAAGAAGGCGGAGTTCCTGCTGGGACGACTGCGGCCACAAAAGTCATTGCTCATCTTAGATCATGGATTGACCCCCCCAACAGTCAATCGGTTGCTCTTTCGTCACCCCTCTGTGCAAGTCTTGGGTGTTCTGGCATGGTTGGCGGGATAGTAAAGCTTCAAGCAGCTCCGCAGCAACTCCCCAAGACTGCGGTTCAGAGCATCAAGGTCTTTCCTTTCGCCTCAAATGCAAAGACTGTCGAAGGCCTGCGGTTTGGTGGAGAATCCAAGGCTGAGAAAGAAGAATCTGCGAAGCGGTTCCGGCAGATCTATGCTGCTGCTAGAGGTACTGATGGGCTTCTTCAAGGGCCTTTGACAGATGGCTCCGTCATGGGCTTATACGACGGTCTCGATCCTCCTCAGGGTTGGGAAGGCGGCATCATTAAATTTACCTTTGGTGGTGATTTTCAAGAGAACAAAGACGCTGCGAATTGGCTTCTTGGGCTCGATACTAAACTACCCATTGACTTTCAGCCACCAACTCCTCGGCCATCATGGCTGACCGAAACGGATGGGTTTGAGCGTCAACCAACCCACGATTCGCTCCTTGTTGGAATCGACTCTTTGCTGGAAAATTTGCAGTCTAATCTTGTCCACCTTTCTTCGGTACTTCTCACTGGTGGTATGGGATCCGGAAAATCTTCCATTGCTCGATATTTGGCACAAAAACTACGACAAGATTCATTATTCCATACATTATACTACCCTTGCCGGAAACTAGTCAATGACGAGACACGAATCTCAACGATAAAGGAAACTTTGAACCGTTTATTCGCCACCGCCAGCTGGGGTGCACGCTTAAACGGAACAGCTGTGGTAGTTCTTGATGACCTGGACAAGCTTTGTCCTGTAGAAACGGAACTTCAGGTCGGCAATGACAATGGAAGGAGCAGGCAAGTCGGTGAGATCCTGTGCTCGATCGTTAGACAATACTGTACCCGGGACAGCGGTGTTGTTCTCCTGGCCACAGCTGAGGGCAAGGAGTCAATCAATGGTGTTGTAGTCAGTGGCCATGTTGTGCGCGAGATCGTTGAACTCAAGGCGCCTGATAAGGAATCGAGACGCCGAGTGATGGAGTCTATTGTCATGCAGGATGCCATGACGGCTGAAGAAGCTCAGACACAGTTCAGCGACGAAAGTCGACCACAAACTGCTGACGGCAGCATGACGGAAGACAGTGGTGCTTGGATGGACGGCGCTAGTCATGCGAGTAAGGAGAGCCATCCGGCAAAGACGAGCGGCTTCATCTTGGACTCCGATCTTGACTTTCTTGATATTTCTGGGTCTACAGACGGCTATATGCCCGGCGACATCAATGTCCTTGTGTCTCGTGCGAGGAACGAGGCTATCATTCGTGCCATTGCTGAGTCGCCAGACTCGACAGGTGCCATTCACTTGGCAAGGGCTGATTTTGATAAGGCCCTCAAGGGATTCACGCCAGCCTCATTGAGGAATGTGTCGCTGCAGAGTTCGTCAACAAGCTTCAAGTCGATTGGAGGGTTGCAAGAGACACGACAGGTGCTCCTGGAGACGCTACAATACCCGACTAAATATGCGCCCATCTTTGCGCAGTGTCCACTACGCCTTCGATCTGGCCTTCTTCTTTACGGATATCCCGGTTGCGGTAAGACGCTTCTTGCCAGCGCTGTTGCAGGCGAGTGTGGCCTCAATTTCATCAGTGTCAAGGGTCCTGAAATTCTGAACAAGTATATCGGTGCCTCTGAGAAGAGTGTTCGAGATCTGTTTGATAGGGCCCAGGCTGCGAAGCCGTGTGTACTTTTCTTCGACGAGTTTGACTCCATTGCACCCAAGAGAGGACATGACTCTACAGGTGTCACGGATCGTGTGGTAAACCAGCTTCTCACACAGATGGACGGTGCCGAGGGATTATCGGGTGTCTACGTGCTAGCAGCTACTTCACGGCCTGACCTGATCGACCCTGCTCTTCTTCGTCCCGGCCGTCTGGACAAGTCTTTGTTGTGCGATATGCCTTCCCTGGAGGATCGTGTCGACATCATCAAGGCACTGTTTCAAAAAGTCAGACTCTCGGACGAGTTGACCGAATCCGAGGGGCCTTTGACGGACATTGCTCGCCGTACTGAAGGTTTCTCGGGTGCTGACCTCCAGGCTCTTGTTTCCAATGCTCAGCTCGAGGCTATTCACGATGTTTTGGACGTTGATGGACCTACAGTCACTTCTAAACGATCCAACGGAACCAATGGCAAGTCGAACACCACTCCTAGCTTCGTCCAGTTCCGTTACGGTAAAGACGCCAAACCTCTGACCGGGGCGACGCCAAAAAGCAAGTCTGCTGCTCTGGTCGAGAACGCATCTATTTTGGCAAAGCTTGAAGAGATCAAGATAGCTCGTAAGAAGTCGAAGCAAATCCACGGGGCTCCCGCCACCAACACAGACGCCAAGGCGCAGAGCAGCGACCAGAGGGAGGTGGTGATTGAATGGGGCCACCTCATAAAGGCCCTGGATAGCACACGGGCGAGTATCAGTTCAGAGGAGAAGGCCAGATTGCAAAGGATATATACCGAATTTGTTGTGGGTAGAAGTGGCCAAATGAAGGATGGGCAGGGAAGCATGGAGATTGGAGGCCGAAGCAGTTTGATGTAAGATGTGGATTTGGCATGTATAGAATATTGATGTGAACGTAGATACCAGCATCTTGGATTAAGGTCCATTATCCTTTGAGATTCTCGATAGAGCCTTTTATTTTATAGCTGGTCAAGTGGAGGCTGCGTCTTCAGCAAGAATCTTCTTCATACTCTCAAGAACGGCAGCGTGGATGCCCTGTCTAGCTGCAAGCAACCCATTGTTCTGGCTCAGATCCCTTCCAGCTCCAAAGTCCATATCCTTGCCGTCAAGGTCGGTCACTTTGCCGCCGGCCTCGGTCAAGATAAGTTGAGCTCCAGCATGATCCCAGATGTGCATCATCACATCGTCAGATGAAGGGATACGCAGCTGGAAATCACCGTCGCCAACGAGGAGTGCCGCATAACGGATATGTGATGAGTACAGCTCGATGTTGGGGAATTTAGCCCCGAAAGAGCTTGCAAGTTTGCGGATGAGGTCGTGACGAGATGTCGAGCCACTCGAGTAGTTGATGATCTGAGCTTCAGCAGGGCTTGAGGCTTTGGAGACGCTGTCAAGAGTCTGAGCAGGCTGGAGACCGCTGAAGTCCATCTTACGAATCGTGGTGCCTTGTCCGCGAACCGCGGTGAGCATAAGACCCAAACCATCTTTGTCGATGGTTGACTCTGCAACTTTATCACCCACAGGCTTGAGGTTCGCACAGCCCAAAACACCAACGACCTCCCTTCCATCCTCTACCAAAGCTAGGGAGACAGCGTATTGCTCTCCCTTGAGGAATGTAGCTGTTCCATCGATAGGATCCATTACCCAGAATCGCCCCTTTCTCCCACCTTGGCCACGCCCGCCAAGATCGATCACCTCAAGAAGCTCCTCAACATCTTTAGGGCTCGCAAGGAGAGCTTCGTCGTCTGTGTTGTCGAGGTGGGCGCTAGAGGCAAGTTCCCAGACACGCTGCTTCAAGGCGGGATCTTCTCTAAGGGCGCTGGAATCTTCCTCACCGACGAAGTTGTCGCCGGGAAATGCCTTGCGGAGGGCACTGATGAGAACAGCTTGAGCGGCAAAGTCAGCAGCGGTGACGGGAGAGTCGTCTGCTTTTGAGATGCCGCTGACGGTCGATTGGACTCTTTTTGTGAGGATTGATGCCCGTAGCACGGCCAGCTCTGCGATTTGACGCTCAAGAGTGTAGGATGACATGATGGCGTTGTAGTGTTGGTGATGGCGATGGTGTTGATAGAGGTATTGGTATTGGTATTGTTACTTGGTGAGATGCTGTAGACTGCAGTGCTAGTAAGAAGCGGAGTAATTTATTATGATGTGATTATTCAGGCGATGGATGCGATGCATGAGATTGATTGAGTGAGAGGATGAGGGACCAGGCGGTGATTTGGTGTTTCCCCACGGATCCACAGCATATCATGATGCAGTCAATGAGCGTCGTTTATTTGTTCATGTATGAGACATGAGCAACAGCAAATTATTTGAGGGCCATTGCGACTACCTCGGTACTAGTGTTGTGAGTTGTGCTCGGACTGTAGATAGCCCAAGATACGAGATGGCTATTCAAGAGGTAATAGGAGCTTGAAACGATGTGTCCATGGTACTCGTAGTCGGTCGTTAATTGTATTTACTTACCTCTCATTCGTCCAAGTCAACCAACAACTGCAGAACATGTTTTGTTGTATCCAAGCATTTATTCTATATAATTCCTCTGATACGGCATTTGAGATGCTAGAATGAGCATCATTGGGTCATCATATGCCATTCAAACTCCAGTGCGAAAGCGACCCAACAGACAGGCAGTGGCCCGTCTCTCTGGTAGCTATCGTGCCCACCTCCCCCAGCAGATATAGGTAAACTATCGCTTGACCGAATTCACTATGAAGGCTTTTTTGCTGATGCTTCACCTCAATTTTACCGTTGACGCCCTTTGAGCGATGTGGTGATGCTCAGAATAGAAGAGTTTCTTCATGCTCTCGAATGGCTCATTTCAGCATAACGACCTCAGAAGCTTACCTCTTAGTGGGCGGGATGGCATGTATTATTCACCGTGACAAACAAAATTACCAAGATCCACAACATAAATCTCGCCCTTCGCCTTCATCTTGACCTGTTGACAATTTCCAAGGTCACAACCCAGTGTTGACAGACTGTCCAAGTCATAAACGTGATCACTCCCATCCGTGACTTCTTCTGCTTCCTCAACTGACAATCTCTTGGTCTTGATCTTGAGTACTTTAGATGTGTTTGGATCTGAGGATGTGTACTCGATGTAAAGGTTGAACGAGTTGAGCTTCATGCTTTTGGTTGAATCCTGCTCTACTTGTTCCCACGCCGTCGAGCCAAGGCTTGACTTGTGATCGGAATGCTTCGATTCTGGAAAATAAATGCTCGACGGGCGTGTTTGGTATGTCTCTAATAGAATTGCAGTTTTGTTCAGCCCATACTCAGTCTCCTTGGACGCGATATCATTTGGCTCTCCAACTGAAATAGGGGCTTGTCCTTGGGCTTTTTCGACTTCATTGGCTGACTCCTGTGCCAGAACCATGGTCTCGTGAGAACTTGTTGGAGAGTTTCTGCGTATTAAGGAGACTTTGGTGCTCTCGGCGTCCAGGTTCTTTGTATTTATCCTTGTCTTGACTCCAGCTTTAGATCGTCTTGGTTTCGTAGGTTGCAGCAGACATATCGCATCTAGAACCTCGCTGTTTATCCCAGTATTAGTGAGCGCCATTGCTAGCTGCATATCTTTCGTTTCCCTAGATCTGTTCAGGGGGGTTGTAGAAATAGCGGCTAACGATATTGTGCTCTCCAAAGGGTCAATGTTCTTCTCAACCCCCTGTCGATGTATCACGTTGAGTCTTTCTACAGCGATCCGTTCAAGTTCTCTGACAAAGAGTCCTCTAGTCTCATTGAGCCCAGTCCATGGCAACCTCCATCCAGGATAGATTCTCCCGTGTGTCTTGGGTATCATGTACTGTCCATGCAACGATATGAAGGCGTTGCATAGGAAACACGCATCTTTGTTGGAGGCGATAACTCGGGGAGGCTTCGAGCCCGGGTGACGCTCGAGGTGCCACAAGAGTTGAATTTCAGCGTGAATCTTTGGCTCGTTCGTAACTCTCAAGAAGTCCTCCCAGAACTTTTTCGTATCCGTTGCTAGTCTTTGGCCCAAGTTATCCAAGTCCCAGTTAGTGTTATACTCCTTTCTAAGCTTCTTCAAATGCTCTTCCAACTTGAAGACCTTGGTTTCTGCCGGTGGCTTCCCGAATGCTGTGTCATCAAGTCCGACGGGGATAGTACAAGTACGTCCAAGTATCGAATACGTCCTCGAAAGCTTCACAAGTGTCCAGGCACAGGTGTCATAGTGCGCCAACTTGTGAACGGTATTCAATAAGCAACTGCACAAGTTCGGTTCCATCCTCGGTCCAATATCTTGGAGCAGCATTGTTGAAAGAGTTGGTATTCTCGATATATCGGCAAAGGTGCTTATGATCAACTCCAGCTTCTTGTCCAATGCTGATGTGCTGGATGGATCTTGCGCCAACTTGATTTGAAAATCATCTATTCTGGAAATAAGCACTTGGCTCAGTCTCATATACTCCCTCTTATCGTCGTTCATTGTGAATCGAGCCATTTCTTTCTTGACTTTCTTTAACACGGTATTAAAGCCTTGTCTTTGGCCGCGCCTGGTGAATCTCGCTCTGCTCATTATTCGGCTTCGACACATAGAGATGACGATGCGGATAATCTGTCTATGAAGTTCCTCACAAGATACTGGCATTTTCATTAGAGAGCTCAGAAGATGCCTGCTGTGTCCCCTGACTTACCTGGTGTCTCCCGGTTAAGTGATCTGAATATCTTGTCAAACCCTTCCTTGACAGCGTCAAGATACGGTGATGAGTTATGACTATGTTTTGCATTGGCTGCAATCATCACCACAACACCGGATTTCTTCTCCTCTACACAGACTGCTGTGACCCTCATAGCATCATCTCGGATACTCGAAAGAAACGCCAGTGTTGACGTGAGTGACTTCTCATCCTGCAAAGACAGTGCCCTGTTGATGTCTGCTTTGCATATAGGCTCGCAGTCTTGAATGCTGTTCTTTTGGGGCTTGCAGCCAATTCTACCAAGGTAGTAAAGAAGAGCAATGTTTCGAGCACATTCGATCTCGGTGTTGGTCTCTGACATGTCTGGCTGAAACTAGCTAGGATAGGGAGTTGAATAGAATATTGAACATCTCAAAGAAAGCAACTATCAGATATCTAAGAAGCAACCATATTTCCACCCTCTATGCCAATAAGCCGGATGACGAGTGACACACATTGTGGTTGGTTGCAGCCTGCAGGAGGCCGACCAGCGGCAAGCTTGCAGCAGCCTTGTAATGGGCGTCAACCACCATGTACTACGTACCCATCACAGCATGTTGTATACATATCAAGGCGGGACAGGTTACTGAGAACCTCAGGGTTGTTCATCTTTCTTTATAGTTTAGAGCTTCTATCAGCCCAAGCAGAAGCCATCGCCTGGCAGTCGTTGCTCGTTTCTTTTTTTTATCCACTGTCCATACCATGCAGTAATCTTCATCTAACAACAATATGGGTCTCTATGCATTGTGTTGACCTCCGCATCGCCTTCTCTCACCTCCTATTCTTGAGGTGTGCTGAGCAGATGACCAACAACGAGCCCCAGATAACAAAACCAGTTCAACAAAGACGCGCAACGCTAGCCCAGCTCAAATGCATAAGACATGCCCCCGCCCCCCGACGTACGTGTGTATAATCCTGGCAACAGCCAAGTCGATCAAGACGATACAACTCCACCTGTGACAAGTCCTATATCATGCTATCCGGGTATGCTCTGAACCTGAATGTCAGATCTTTCCACGCTTAGCTCTTGCTCAAAATGCAGTCAAGTGTGGTAAAGGGCAAACATGCTGACAGCCCCTGTCTTTTGAGGTATGCACAACCAAACGCCGATCCTATGCCGAAATTGAATAAAAAGATGCTCAAGTCATAATGAAACAATATCAGGTATAATCTGCTCGTAACAGGTAAGAGGTGTGTTTGTTTTGGTTTTGTACTGATTGTTCCTTGTTAGGAATCATCCGTTGCTTTTCTGAAGCTGGCGGAGGCGGTGACTATGCACCGTTGGTTTTGGTCGAACTGGATCCCTTGCTGCGGGAATGTAGAGTGCGATACATGTTGCTCAACCGCTTTCCCGTGACGCTCTTGCTTGTATCATCTACAGGCCACAAAGCTGCCAGAAAGTCCCTATCATCAGTGTTAGTTGGGTCCGCCACAAGAAACTATCCATCATCGTAAGACTTACCAGAAATTACTCTTAAGACCTTCGTCAGCAGCAGTGGCCGCCAATTTCTCGTCGAGAAAAGTGCCGATAACGACCAGCTCGACGCCAAAGATAGACGCCCGCTCCTTGCTTGACTTGACGTTGTCCTTGGTTGTAGAAAGAATCCTCTCAAAGTTCTCTCGGACCGGTTTGAGTAGAAACCAGATCATGGCGTCGTTGTCCTCAGCTCTCTTATCTTTGTTGTCGCCAATTCGACGAAGTTCGTCCAGCCTTCGCAGAGCCTTGGCTCGGCGCTCATCCTGAGGATGCGAGTCATGGGCTCGCTCTCGCTCTCGTTCGCGATCACGATCACGCTCACGATCTTCACGATGTCGATCATGTCGTCTATCATCACGACGGTCGTCACGTCGGTCATCTCGGCGGTCTTCCCGACGTTCATCGCGATGACTGTGGCTGAGGCGATGTTTATCATGTCGCCGGTCATCCCGTCGCTCATCCCGTCGTTCATCCCGTCGTTCATCTCGGCGCTCATCGCGGCGCTCATCACGACGGTCCTCATCATCCCGGTGACGCCGCTTCTCTGATCTCTCCCTGTCCTCTCCATGCTTACTGGATCGACGATGCTCCTCGATGCGGCGGTGCTTGGGGCTACGGCTATCTTCATGAGATAGATGTTTTCGCTTGAAATCCGGTCGCGGGGTTCCGCGCTCCTCCGCATGGCTTCGGGATCGGTGCAGGTCACCATGGAGGTGGTCTCTGTCACGGTCGCGAGACTTCTTGCCGTTGTGCGGAGCAGGAGACGCTGTGGCACTCCCACGGTGACCATTGACAAGTGTCTTTTTGTTGTTACGGTGATGATTCTCTACTGCTCGCTGCACACCACGATCATTAGAGTGCTTCGCTTGCAGGACTGAAAGCAGATACTCTGATCGCCGAACAAGGTGAACAGCACCAGGAGCCTTCATCTTGTCGTTGCCCTTGCTACGTTCCTCTTTCTTCTCTACGCGATGTTCTTCGAGGAAGAGTTTGTCTGCCATGTCCAGATCAGGATCGTCTCGAATCTGGGGCCAGGCGCCAAAGCCGTGTCTGTCAATACCCACTAGGAGCATGGCATCTTCCTTAGCACCCCAAGCGCAAGAGTAGCTAGCCGCCTTTGTCGCGTCAGGGAGACGAAACGTGTGCCAGTCATTGTGGCTGCGAATGACTTGTCGGAGAAGCTGAAGCTGCTTCGGACGTTCTATGGCTGTTTCAGCATTGACCTTCTTAAGATCGCCAAAGTCTATCAGGACAGCTTTGCGGTCCTTCTTCGTGAGAGTCTTCCCGAGTCTCTTTTCTTCTTCCACCATCTGAGCATAGTTATCGTCCACCGCCTCCTTGGCTGCCTTGATGAATTCATCAAGGACCGACTTGACGTACTCTGGATCCCTTTCTTTCAGCTTGGCTTCCTTGATAATTTCATCCCCGCGATCATCCATTGAGCCGTAACGGAAGTAAGCCTTTATTAGACTACGTTGTTCCTTATCGTTCAAAGGGCGCTTAGGATCGAGAGGCACGGGCCTTCGGTCATCCTCCTCCTTGTCTTGCTGCTCCTTCTGACGTTTCTTGAGGCGAACATCACGTTCACTCTCTCTGTGGCGGCTCTTGATGGCCGCTCTGCGTGGAGCACTTTCAGCCGCCACCTTGGCAACGTAGGCCTCATGCTGTTTCTTTTCTTCCTCGGCCTTAATTTCGGCGATCTTATCGGCGGGGATAATCTGATCCCAATCAAGGTTGATATCGTCCACTTTCACATCCGTAATTTGCATGAAATTGTCCCAGTCGATGCCGCCACTGCTTAGGTTTATCTTGTCGTCGACCTTGGTCTTGGTGACCTCAGCGTTCTCAAGAATCGAGTCAATGTCGAGTTGTTCGAGCCGTTCTTGGTTGCCACTCTGTTCGAACATCTTAGATGATCGCATCTTGAGAACCATTTGGATATCTTCAGACGAAGACGGGCCTTCCACCCTGAGACCCTTCTTGTTGAGTTCCTCCTTGAAAGCTGCCTTGCCATCGTCGGTGACACCAGCCTGGATGGTTAGGTATTCGAGTAAGAGTTTGTTGCGAGCTCTTTCGAGGACCTCTTCCTCGACAGTCTCCTTGGATACTAGGCGGTAGATGTTTACAGGACGTTTCTGACCGATGCGATGGGCACGAGCCATGGCTTGCAAATCAGCTTGAGGGTTCCAGTCAGAGTCGAAAATAATGACAGTGTCTGCCGTCATAAGGTTGATTCCAAGACCACCTGCACGAGTAGAGAGAAGGAAGCAAAAGTCATCGCTGTCATCAGCGTTGAAGTGGTTGATGGCCATGCGTCGGGGGCCAGCAGCAATAGTACCGTCCAATCTCTGGAACTTGTAGCCTCGCAGGGAGCAGTAGTCGCCAAGAATATCAAGCATTTTAACCATCTGACTGAAGATCAGGACTCGATGGCCATCTTTGTTTAGCTTGGAAAGAAGTTGATCGAGTAACATCATCTTTCCACTGCTGGCAATCAAGCCCTTGATTTGGTCTTCACGGCGGACACTGCCGGCCAGGACCTTCTCCTCAGCACCAGGAAACATGTAAGGATGGTTACTGATCTTCTTGAGTTCCATCATAATATTCAGGAGAGAGTTCTTGTGTCCATTAGTGGCATCGCAAAGAGCTGTATAGTTTCTGGTCAGGATGTTCTTGTAGTACTCCAACTGTACATCGGAAAGCTCAACGCGGATAATCTTTTCAGTCTTGGGAGGAAGGTCTGACTCGACGGTTTCCTTGGTTCGTCGCAGAATGAAAGGCGCAATGGCCTTGTGAAGTTGTTGCAGTTTCTCTTGTGCATCGTTGGCAGAAAGGGAATCAAGATCTTCGTCAATGTCGACTTTGCCGGGGTTAAGAAAGTCGAGCAGAGCAGAAAGTTCGGCCAAGTTATTTTGAATAGGTGTTCCCGTGATCAGGATCTTACAAGGAATGCCAAAGCTTACCAGCCGGTTGTATAATTGGGATTCCCGGTTCTTGAGGCGATGAGCCTCATCGACAGCGAGCGTCTGCCATTTGATAGACTGCAGGAATTGCCAATCCTGGAGAATAAACTCGTATGAAGTGACAAGGACATTGAATTTGGGCTTCTTTGGGTTGCCATCTACGAGCAGCTCGTGCTCACGAATGATTTTTCGAGCATCCTCGGGTCCCAGGTAGACAACATAATTGATGTCAGGGGACCAATGGTTGAAAGTGTCGCACCAAGCCGGGATGACACTGAGAGGAGCAACCACAAGTGATGGTCCCTCCTGGCGTCGAGCATTACGGAGCCAGCTGAGGAAAGATACTGTCTGTACCGTTTTTCCGAGACCCATTTCATCGGCGAGAATCACGTTATTGCCCTTTGTCCAGTTCAAACATAGGAAGTTGAGGCCCCGAAGCTGGAAGTTGCGGAGTTCGCCGCCTTTGATGAAATCGGGTTGCTCCTCGAGCTTGACCATCCGTGATCTTGTGTCGAGGTTCGTCTCCTTGCGGTCTGACTGCCACGAGCGTGATGCTCGATCAAGGTATTGGTCAATCTGGTCTTGGAACGCGTCGCTGATTTCTGACGCGACCTCCCATGTGCATTCTTCATACGTGAGGCCCTTCCACTTGACAAGATACTCAGTATCGTCTTCACCGTCTCGTACAGCGACCACTCGCTCGACCTTGGTGTAATCCTCGAATGCTTCCTCGTCTCGCTCGCGGTCAAGGAAAAATTGCTCCTTCGTTTCGGGGGGGATATCATCGCCGACACGGATGTCCACCTCGTACTCGATCACCTTTCTAAAGTAATTCTCAACTTTACGGTAACCTCGATAATCTCGAATGTCTTGAAACGTCTC